GGTTGTTGTTTTGGAGTAACTTTGAATGAAGGCTGTTATCTACCAAAGTTGAGAATCTCTGGTTTAAATAAAAAACGACAGAATAAAAGGCAAAAAAAAAAAAGAGAGTGAAATGAGACCGTAAGAGACTTGGACAGTGAAATGAGACCGTAAGAGACTTGGACAAGGCGAGAAAGGTAAAGTTGTAGTGTCATATTCCCTTATCATAAATTCTCTATTTCAACATCAACACGTCCTGTCTGTGCAGTGTCGCAGCTGTCAGGCTACATAACTCCTGGTCACGTTCCGGCCGTTGGTATTGACCTCCCTTTACTTCTTCTGACGTCTGTTCGACAGTTACTTCTCTATTGCTTTATGTTTGTTTTCTGTGTTCCTTTTCTATTTCGTGTCTGTTATTAAATATTTATTCTGGTTTGCTTTAAGTCATCTGCACTGCACTATACTTTGCCTGACTTTCGAAATGAAGATCTTTGGGTGACATCCTATGAAGATCTTTGGATGGCATCAAATGAGGATCTTCGGGTGGCATTCTATGAGGATCTTTGGATGGCATCAAATGAGGATCTTCGGGTGGCATTCTATGAGGATCTTTGGTTGACATTCTATGAAGATCTTTGGGTAACGTCATATGAAGATATATGTGTGGCATTCTATGAAAATCTTTGGGGTGGCATTCTATGAAATTCTTTGGGTGGCACTCTATGAAAATCTTTGGGTGGCATTCTATGAAAATCTTTGGGGTGGCATTCTATGAAAATCTTTGGGGTGGCATTCTATGAAAATCTTTGGGGTGGCATTCTATGAAAATCTTTGGGTGGCATTCTATGAAAATCTTTGGGTGGCTATCTATGAAAATCTTTGGGTGGCATTCTATGAAAATCTTTGGGGTGGCATTCTATGAAAATCTTTGGGTGGCATTTTATGAAAATCTTTGTGTGGCATTCTAAATAAACGCAAAAAGAAAAAAAAATATTCATTTAAGTTCAATTCACAGCTAAAGCACAAACGACATCCAGTAGTTAAGGGTTCTCACCCCGTGCGATTTTGTTGTCGCATTCGGGTGGAAAATAAAGAATATGGTCTGCATTTATAATGGGGTTTGTAATAAATATAACGAAATATATTCATTTATAATTTTAGTCATTTATTTGTAAAGGATGTTGAAGAATTCTTGGGGTCCCTCGAAACTTTATCAAGATTCTACCCCACCCTACCACCCAAACCTCTTCTCTGGTTTGACGGTAAACTCTTATGTTTCTATCTAAGTCCACTGATGCCGTAGTCCTCTTTTCAATGTCCACCATTGTGCAATGTCCACCACTGGCCAGGAATCTAACAATTTAAGAGTGAATACGCGTCAGCTGTATGTGTTCTTTGAGAATTTGTAACTGGTGAAGAATATAAATGTGATATAAATGTGATATAAATGTGATATAAATGTGATATAAATGTGATATAAATGTGATATAAATGTTTACATTGCGCACGTTCCAAAAAATTTAAAATACTAGCAACTCAATGCCCCATCCACAAAGCCTCCAGCCCCCACCCCTAAACACACGCCTTTCTCCCCCTCCCCCCACCTCCCTAAAAAAAACAGGCCGTAACCACTCTCTTATTCAATTCGATGAAAACAATTTATAATCTTTCCCAAACTGAATTCGTCATGCCCAATAGCCATTCTTCATTTAGCTTAATAGGATTTGGGGAAATCCTTTTCACAAAGCCTTCTGCTCAGAAGCCATAGGGCTTCTAATATAAAGATAAAAATCACGGGTGGAAAATGGAAGTCGTCTGCCGGGGAAAGCTTCCCGGTGATCATTATATAACACAATAAGGCAGACCTCTGGAAAGGCAGGCACGCGGGAGCCGAAGGAGGGAGTGCTCACGACTGCAACGCCAGATTTCAATCTGAATAAATTTGAAAGTTGATTGAAAGCAGAAACCATTTGTTTCAAGTTTGTTTCCAGTCGATTATCCCCCTTTTTAATGGTTTGATTACAGAGGCCGCTGAAGCAGAAGTTAAACTTCTTAAAGGGAGGCGAACCAATTTACAATATGCTTTGAATTTTAATGAATGCGCGCCCGACTTCATCTTCGGCAGACGCCAAAAATCGATGCGTTCGTCAGAAAGTGCCTGCGGGACGGGGTTATGGGCCGTGGATGTATATAGAAAACGAAAAAAATCCGGAAATTTCACTTTAAACGAGTGCGGCCTTTTGTGTGTAAGGGGAGGAAATTGTTGACAACAAAGTTATCTTTGGTTAGATCGGTTATTTTAATGGATGAATGGCTCGCAAAGGGTTAAGGGGGGGGAAATGTGAAGGCAAAGAAAATAACGCATTGGCACGCTGGCAGGAAAACTGAGACTGTGGGCGAGACGAATGAGTCGTTCAACGGGATCTTTTCTTTACTGAAGTGTGTTTGTGAGTTGGTGTTGGGGCGTGTGGGGTGTGGGGGGGAGAATTCCTGAATACGCCAGTGCCTATTTTATTTTTGAGTCGGTCAACGATGTCTGGAGTAATGGAGGATACGTTTCAGTTGGTTTCCTTTTCAATATTTTGTGCACCCAACAAGAAGAATTGTAATGCAGATAGTGGCTACCACCACCACACTGGCTCACAAATTTTACTTTAACTTTTAGATATTCAAATACTCCAAGCCATACATTACGTATCGTAAAAAAATAGAGGTTAGAGCTAAAAAAAAGGGGGCCCTAGGTAATGTTCCCTTTAAGCTGCGCCACCTCAAAAAACTGAAGAGTTATGTTTAAATTTTTTTTTTTTTAAATTGTTACACACACACCTAGTTGTAACTTACATTTAGTCATCACAGTTTTAAGGAAATGGTTTCTAGTTTCTAGTTTCAGGGTCAAAGTGCAACTTGAAGTGACATCTCAGTCTCAACGAGAGAATCTTTCCCTAATCAAAGGCAGACAACTCAAACATGACAGGTTGGGTGCAAGGATTTTTGTGTGTGTGTGCTAAATTATAACGATGAACTGGACACGATAGCACAACGCTTGGACATTCTACGAAATTAACCCAAACGCTGCACTCGGGGCAAAGTCTGAATTTATTCACCCACTTCCAAAAATATATACCGGTAAATATATATTAATGCACATATTTTGCATTATAAATGAAGATTTTGTTTCCCTCTGAAGATGGCACCCAGAGAGGGTGCCCAGTTTATACGCACTTGCAAGGGGCACAGCTTATTAAACACAGACACTGATGTTCTCCCTTTAATGTCATCATAAGTCTCAAAAAACTCGGTTAATGTAAAACTCGGTTAATGTAAAACTCAGTTGATAATAACTACTTAGTGATCCCAGCAACGTCTGCAAGCTGTATGGCTTATGTATAACACAGTAGCTTACTCTCAAACAACCTTCAAAAACATATTCAATCACTGACTGTTCGCAACTTCTTTTGGGAGTGTTTAGTAAAGATTTTATTCACAGGGTGCAAGGCTCTCATTGTTTGATAAAAAGCAGTGACCATTTCCACATTTAATTGTGTATCCTAACACAAAACCACACATTCATTAAACGGGATTCTATTTTAAGCTTTGAGAAACGAATTGCTTAACGTCATTAACAGTGTTTTAGACGTTATGAATATATTCAGGTCATTTTTAAGAGGGGAATTTTTTCAAGTTCCAGTGGATTAATGGGGTTATAATGTTATAACATAATAATTATTGCATGAGTGAAGACGCAAACAAATACTTAGTTCTTTTCCTATATTTATATTGATAAGTTGTGTCATTTTTATAAATTACAACAAAAAAAAAAATAATTAAAAAAAAAAGATGTACTAAAACAGCGGTTCTCAACCTGTGGTTCGCGGCCCCTTTGGGGGTCGCGGGACCCTTTTTCAGGGGTCGCCTAAGACCATCTGAAAACATATATCCTTACAGCTATGAAGTAGCAACGAAAATAATTGTGTGGCTTGGGGGTCGCCACGACACGAGAAACAGTATTAAGGGGTCGCGGCACTAGAAAGGTTGAGAACCACTGTACTAAAAGGAAAAACGAGTCAGAACAAACACGTTGATGGTTTGATTATTTAAGTTTTGTAGGATCTTTAGACTGAGAAATCATGTACTGGCCTCGTCTCTCAAAGAAGAGGTCAGTATAACTGCTCGCCAGTATGTTCCTCAAACTGGGCAATCATCTCAGCTGCCCAACTGTAGGGGGAGGGGGAGTGGCAGGGTTGGGTCCATGTGGGCAGCTCCAAGAACCACGTTATATTCCAAACTTTATGGATGGACAGACAGAGCCACATAATCCTGATCTATATTTTTGTGTCCATGCCTTAGATTTAAATATTTGCCTTCTAGGACTTTTCCCAAAAAAATTTTTTACCCCTATCGATACAACTTGACATTTGATATCTGTGACCATATTTTTTCTGTGCATAACAGTTAATGAAAGAGAAATGTTTTATTAGATTTGTTAAATGCTAAAGGCCTTAAACTTAAAGTTGAAGTGTTTTTTTTGTTTTTTTTACTTTTTAACATCAGAATTACAAAAATAATTCAATGTACACAGCACTGCCTTTTTGACAACATTCATCATGTTTCAGTTCTTCCAAGGTCATCAAAATTTAATTTTTAACGTTTATTTGGGTGCTTGTGTCAGAGCCGTTCTTAGGAGTTTGGAGGCCCTAAGCATGGACCGTAGTTTGGGGGCCCCGGAAGGGGGGGGGGTCTGGGGGTGGAGCTCCCTCGACCTGAGGAGAAAACACCACCCACCACTGTGGCACCTCCATTCTGCCTTCATCAATGTTTCCTCTTTCCCATTCCCACGGCCAAGCCCCCGATTTGCTGTCTGCCACCCCCAAAGCTCCCCCCTGCTGCTTCCCTTCTCCTGCCTCCGAATTCAACTCAGAATGATAAATTTCAGGATGAGGAAGGTGACGTGAGTGACACAGACGGCTGCAGTGCCAGTTAAAAAAAAAAACGGGGGATCGAGGGCGCCTCATGGGGGCCCCCTCACTTTCGGGGCCCTACGCGGATGCGTAGTCAGTGTATGCCTAAGAACGGGCCTGCTTGTGTCTTCAATGAAAAGTAAGATTTTATTTCAGTACAAAAAATTAGACTACACACTGCATGAAGTAAGTAAACTCAGCTACAGACTGCATGAAGTAAGTAAACTCAGCTACAGACTGCATGAAGTAAGTAAACGACAGACTGCATGAAGTAAGTAGACTACAGACTGCATGAAGTAAGTAAACTCAGCTAAATTGAAGTAAGACTTTCCAATACTTTCAAACTCTATTCTGATTTGTAAATATAATTGTAGCAGTTAAGAATCAAAAATAAAGTGAATGTTACCACACTTTTTTTTCAATACCAATAATACAAAAAATCATTTTGTTAATAGAAATCGCCTGGTTATTTTATTTTTTTTTAAAGTATATTTGCTGCTAGTGACTTTAACTGCTGTTAACTATCTAACAGCAATATTCAAACCAAAGAAGACTTATGCGCCTGAGGTTATGCTAAGTTGGCTGTGACAAGATGACTTATGCACCTGAGGTTATGCCAAGTTGGCTGTGACAATGGACCAATGTAGTACTGTATGCTTTTTAAATTTTTTGGTTTTGCAACAACATTTCATATACCATGAAATTTTTTTTTTAGATTGTTTTGAAAATACTATACTTAAAAAGAAAATGAAGGGGGAAAAAAACAACAATGTCTCATTTTCTAAATAACATTCTACACTAGATATATTTGAACAAATTTTCTCTTAAATTTTTTTGTAGGCTATACGAATTTATAAATATCTCAATTTCTTCTGATTTGGTTTGAGAATTACATTCAAATCAATTGATCTCTTGCTCTTGCAAAAGCTGCAGCTAAAGTTTGGTACATAGCTTAGTCTAAATGTGATGTGTATGCACTGACACAAGGTGCATTCCTGCTGTATAAATTATGTAAACATGTTCAGTGAAATATCAGTTCTGAAGTGAAGAAGAATGGAGACACAAATTCCATTTATATACAGTGCATTTGACAACAGTTCTCATGTGTTGAGAGATTCATTCCGTATTTTACAGGACACCATCCCTTCCACAAACTTCAGAACTTTGTGAATGCTTGACCAGACTTAACTGTTCCTGTAAAAAAATCATTGGATGCTTCTCTCCACAAGATTTTTATTTCCACACTGCAGAGATGAAAATACACACAAAAAATGCTCACTGGCATCAGAAGAAACAAAAATTCCAATGCTGGGCTTGGTCCATAGAGCACAATGTTCATGGGAAATAATAATATTTTCAGAAAATGAAATTTTGTTATCTTCATTTTTAGAGTGTTTTTTTGGGTTTTTTTTAAACTTCACTCTGACTAAGGTGATATTTACAGGGGAACTTCAATAAATGTGCAAAAACTGTCAGTAGTAGAGTTTCAGATAAGCAAGTTTTCTGTGATATTTTCTTTCTTCTTTGGTACTGTAAAGCTGGAAAAATAAAATAATGAGATCAAGATTACTTACAAAATGTATGATGGAGTTGTATTATTTGCTGCTTCTAATAGTCATTTAAAGCAATTTTTAGTCCGCTGCACTTATTGGACTTTAAGAGACAAAGCCATAGTGGGCACATAATTGCCATAGTGGGCACATAATTGCCATAGTGGGCACATAATTGCCATAGTGGGCACATAATTGCTATAGTGGGCACATAATTATATACTCTTGATTGTAGGAGTTTAATTTTGAGATAGAGTAAATCTTTGGATTGACCAATCAGAGAACAGCAACATTGAAACTAACCTTGTCTGTGTTCCTATCAATGGTACTTCTAAGACTGACACTGGGAAGCAAGATGGGTGCACCGCCAAATGACTGGTGCCAATGTACTTTTCTGTTGATGGCCACATCAGTGTCATATGTTCCAGCCCTAAAGTTATAAAAAATGCCAGAATTTTATAAAAATATTTCAATTTTAAAATTTAACAATGACCAAAAGACTTACTTTCACCACCAAATCAGACTATTTTATTTAAGTTTTTTTTCAATGATATTACATGTACAGATTTTTTTATTTGAAGACAAAGTTTAATTTTAACATTTCAAATTACATTGTTGTTGTTTTTTTTATCATCATACAGTCTTTCAACTATGTCGTAAGTTAAGATATGTCCCAATAAAATAGTTCCATTTCGCTTGTTGTATCACCTTTGTTTGAAATACAACTATGCTAATTTCAAAAAGAAATGCATAACTATAAAGTTAAAGGCACACATGCCAACCTGCAGGATCAAAACTTGTTCACCAAAACCCCAAATAACTGTGCAATTATCATGTAAGACTGTACAGAAAAATTAAAAAGTAAACCAAAAAAAAAAAAAAAGTATAACTTAATAAATTTTTTCATTTAATTATCAATGGTTGGAATGCATGCAAACTTTGCTCTCTTGAAAACCCAAATTCCAGGTGTCATTGTCGATTTCGCACTGTAACATAGATGGGATTTCAAATTAAATGTGCAAATAAGACGATATCCGCCTTTGTAACTTTATCAGATAAGATTTTCTTAATATTGGGCTGAGAGAGGAAGGATCGTTTAATAGAGTTAGAATTTCCCTTCCTGCCTCACAGTTTCATTCATGCAGCTTTATTTAAAAAGTGTGTTTCAACGTCAGTAGAAGCTAAGCTTAAGTAAGTAAGCACTCAACCTCTTCCCCCCCCCCCCTTTCAACTTATTTTTCTTTTAAAGTTAGTTTTGCACATTTAAATGTTAATTAGAATTTTCCATCTGGAGTAAAATAATAAATTTTTAAAAAAGAATATATTCTGACTATTTATTTAAAAAGTGTGTTTCAACGTCAGTAGAAGCTAAGCTTAAATAAGTAAGCACTCAACCTCTTCCCCCCCCCCCCCCTTTCAACTTATTTTTCTTTTAAAGTTAGTTTTGCACATTTAAATGTTAATTAGAATTTTCCATCTGGAGTAAAATAATAAATTTTTAAAAAAGAATATATTCTGACTGATGTCTGCCCTAAATAAAGTATAGGCATGTTTATACAAAAAAAAGAAAACCCCACCCGCATTAGTTATAGAAAGTGTTACATGTTAGATTAGGCATGCAGTAGTAGTGTGGTGATATAAATTAAAACATATGTAGTGGCTATTCATTGTTTTTGTCTGATTGATGCCTTTGATGAAAGACATAAAATGGCGTCTCATTTTGGGTGTTTATTCAATCATTTTTAACATAGAAACTTTCAACATTGTATTGGTAGACTTAGAATTCCTGCAATAGCCATATAACGTTGGTAGTTCGCTCAGATTCAAAGTGTAAAATGCCTACCTATCCTAAACTTTGGGTCAAAGGTCATTTTGAATAGACCAATAGGAGTTAAAATCCCATTCGATAAATGTTGAATCTATTTCATCCCTATTAATGAACAAGTGTCGTGTTCAAACTTTGTTTATTTTTTAAAATAAAATCTGAGTTCAAACCATACAATATCTCTTATGGCCATACCATTAAGAAAACTTTAAAAACCGTTACAACCTCTGGGTAGGCTATAGCGTACAGGTTGGCATGTAGTGTTATAATTGTCACAATAACTTTTAAATATATAGTATCATAAAATTAGTTTTCAATACACGACTAACCCTGGAGTAACTTCAAGAAGATCTCGCTTACGCACTGGAAATCTTTCAGAGCCCACCTCAAATGGTTTCTTTGAATCTTTTGTGGCATAACTAGATGGAACAAAGTGTTCTCCTGGTGCTGGTGTTAGGTTCTGAAACATTCATGACAGCATTGTAAAAGACACATAGTGTGCTGTGAAACTGATCATTTTCTTTTTCTGCATGTTCTCAGAATTGTTTTTCAAAATTGGTTTCAAACACACTAAATATTTTCTTTCCAATATGTGAAAATGTATAAGTCTTTGAAAAAACATTTAACAATTCCATGATGATCCAATATCAGAATATATAATTCAGCTAGGAATAACAACTTAAATCAGCATGAAGAGTGCCCCCCCCCTTTCCCCAGTCTTTAGATGCAGTGCCACCTTTTACAAAACACAAAAAAAGTGCATTTTACAAATCGCTCCCACTTACAAAAAAAAAGGATATTTCAAAAGTGGTCATGAGACCATTTACATTTATAATATTTAATAAAGACACACAAACAGATCTACAAGTACCAAATAATTAACTGGTACCTCAGAAGTAATTTGTGTACAACCAAGTTAGATGGCAACAAAATATTGACTAATTTAATCTTAATCGTCACCATCAAAACAAGAAGAAAACAATTATTAGCTAATTAAAATAAATAATTACAATATTTAAAATATTTTATTGAAATTCTTTTAATACTAATATTTCTGCCATAAACTATAAATGATTTTTATATTAAAGAGGAATTTTTTTTATTGAAAATGACATAAAGAAATTTTTAAAAAAAGAGACTTACAATATTTTGTACAGCAAGTCGTGGGCCTGTCCTGGCTCCTAATGTATATCCTTTTGTACTAACTAATTTGGTTCTCACACCATGGAATAAACTTGTTTTCTTGAAAAGACATTATGAAAAAACAATTGGCAAGACTACTAAAACTGATAATTATATCAATTAATTTAATTATCTAATAAAAATTTTTAACAGCTCATAATCATTGATTTGATATAAGCTTAAAGTATTGTTCATTTTTTTTTTATTTTAGAGTGTGTAGGTCAATTTTCCAGAAAGGTCCATTGAGTAATATGATTCATTAAGAAATTTTAATCACTATCACCATTATTTGAAGATATGGAAAATATTTATGTTTTCTTTAACAGTTCACTTTTCTGAGGAACAAATTTCCTTTAACATAATCCATTGTTTCCCCCCTTACATGGTCTCTCATGACATTTCCTTCTGCACCCCCTACACCAATGAAAATCTTATACAACTCATTTGTGTTTTTTTTTAAACAATTGTTTTAAAGCAATTCTAATTTCTAGTGAGCTTTGTCTCCATCTAGTTTGGATAAGAATGATTAATCTGCAATATCTTTGCTTTAGAGCAGCCCCATTTCCTTCAAGAGCTAATTGATTTAGTATGAAAAACTATTTTAATAACCATTGTTCCCATAACCTACTCAACTGACAATGATCCTTGATAGAATTTAACACAGTAAACCATTTTTGAGGAACTGCAACAAGGCTGAACCACATTTACTCACTTTATCAGCATCATAACACCACATTTACTCACTTCATCAACATCATAACATCCAGGTCCAAGCTGTGGTGCACCTTTCAAGGGACATAATGCATTTCCAAATCTATCACTTGCCATTTTTAAAGGAAACATTTCCCTAACCTTTGTTGTCATGAAACAAACTTTTTTTTCTGATCCTGTAAATTTAATCAAAATACATTATACAAAATAATTAATTTATTTTAGACAAACATGAATAGGTTTGCTTGATAATGTTTTTTAAAATCAAAAAGCAATTTGAAAGTTAATAACAGTTCTGATTTCCAACTTAATTAAGCTATTTCACTTACTCCAAGCTCAAATGATATTTAGGTTAAATTGTATTTTCGAAATGAAAATTTCAAATAAAATTATTACAGACTTTTCTGATAAAACAAAAAAAAAACACAAGAACGTTATAAAAAATTATTAATGTTGTTATAGCTCCTGTCCCTTAAAGCTGGTTTCCCATTTTCTCATTTAAATTTTTATTAACTATTAAATAAATCTAGGAGTTAATTTTTATTGAAATAAAAACTTTCAAAATATTTAAATTGATTTTACAGGCCTACTCCGCTAAGGTTAAAATAAACTCTCAAACCTTTTTTTGGAAATGACAATGAATAAAACCAATTAATCAATCTTTTTATCACGGTCATTAAATGGTAAAATTATCTATTTAGGCCAGTGAATGCGAGAGATTTTGAAATAATCAACAACATAATTATAATTCAATTTCAAAATTTGTAAAATCGTATTTGAACACATAAAAAACAAATTTTAAATATATAAACCAATTATGATACTTTAGCACATTTTATTAAAAATCTTGTTCATCCCATTCTGGTCTAAACTTATTAATAATATTGTTGTAAGATGCACCAAAAGCCAAAATACTATTTTCAATTCCAATACTTTTGTTGTAATTTACTGTTTTTTTAAAATTATATTCCATAATGAATTTTAAGAAAGCTAAAGAGAATGAAGAAAAAATAAATTGCTGATTTATGAATGCCTGACTAGTTCTTTTGTAAATATTCTTATAGCAAGAACTCCTCAAAGAAAGAAGAACTCTTTAGGCTATCTAACCAACAAAGTAGGTAGGCTATAATAAGTACTATTACAAACAAACAAAAAAATGAATACAAGTATCCTCTGACCCTTAATCTAGTTGTAATACTAATAGATAAAAAAAAGTTGAACAAGATATGTTATTTTTTATTACTAATAGTACTGAGAAAAAAACATAATGTGAACTTAACTCTGTGCTATCCAACTTTAGAAAATCTGGCATTTTTGCAGAATAGGAATGGGGGAGGAGTTAACCTTTTTTTTTTTTTTAATATTTATTTTTTATTTAGTAATGAAATAATTATTATTAATAGAAGTCAAAGAATTTAATTAATAAAAACTTTAAGTTTTAAATATAATAATAAATTTTTTAAAACAAATTTGTTTTTAAAAGAACATGAGCGAGACAAGTTTACGTATGCTATTTTGGTATTCTCTCCACTCTTGAAACGAGCTAGCTGCTATCATAAAAAATATTTTAAAGTCCAAAATGATATTAAAAAATCCTGAAATTAACTTAGGTTCCTTTCTTAGATATTTTTTCACAGTTGCCGCAAAAAAAAACCCAGTCTGTGCTCTTGTTCTCTCTCTTGTAACTCTCTTATGTCAGGTTCACCAAAAAATTTCATTAAAAAAATGCAGAAAATTCAAAACTCAGCTGCTAAATTAGATCTAAAGGTAAAGAAACATGATCACGTCACTCCACAACTTCCCTCACTTCATTGGCCCCCTATAAAGGATGCAATGATTACAAGCTGTCTGTTCTCTGTCACAACTTTTTCTCTGGTTTCTGTCCTTCCTTTCTTACTGAACTTCTTACTGTTTATTCATCCCTTCAAAAGCTTTGTTCCTCCGCAGACACGCGTATTCTTTCTTCCCAGAAACCACACTAAAGGATATAGTGTTTGATCTTTCTTTTTCTGTGCCCCAAAACAATTGAATTGTCTCCCCTTACACATCCGCAATATAACGACCATCATAGCCTTCAAAACTGTCCTCAAGACCCATCTCTTCAAACTGTACTATACTGACAATTGAATTGTCTCCCATTACACATCCGCAATATAACGACCATCACAGCCTTCAAAACTGTCCTCAAGACCCATCTCTTCAAACTGTACTATACTGACTCATTCTCATGCCACTCTGACTGATAAACAATGCTCGATTCTGCTGGATGCTGTCCTTGGCTAGACAGGGGTACATAGTACTTGGTTGGGTGAAGTCAAGCTTTTCACTATTTGCTGTTTTTAAATGTATGTTTATGAAATTGCTAATTTTTATGTGAAGCACAGTGAGCCTAGCCCTACGCTGGATTCTGGGCTACATAAAACCACCTAATAATAATATTATTATAACTGTTATACTATTGTTACATTCATATTAGATCAATAAAATCATGCGTTTATGTCATGCTAACCTGCAATTTACAAATAAATTATTTATCATCCACAGGAAATATCCCCAAACCTTTTTTCAATCAGGATATCATGTTGAAAACTTGTGACTACATCAATGCTTATGCCAACCACATGACAGAACAAAAAATAGTACTTATACACTAACTGAAGGAAATAATACCAATAGAACTCTACATTTGTTTTCTTTTACGTATATACATGAGCCTAATTCAATGTCATGGTGTTACTGACTCAAAAAGAAAGAGCGTCAGACTGTGACTGTAAATGTTTGAAATGTGATAATCATTTCTGTCTATCTAATTAAGGAAAATAATTGTTTATTGTTAGAACATCCCCTTAGTTAAGAAGACTCTTAGACTGTGTTTATTTTTGTTTAAGCCTGATTTAGTCATGTAAGCTCTAAGAGCTTTATTATTATTATTTTTCTATTTATTTTATTCTTAATAAAATTTCAATCATTTATAATAACAAAATTTTCAAATTAGTTGTTATATTATAATGTATTTAAATGTATTTGTATTAAATGTCAACTTTTTAATATTAATAAATAGGTTTTAAACTTTTTATTTAAATAATTCTGCATCAAATATCCACTTGTCTAAATTTGACCACAAAAACAGCATTTTCTTTTACGCATGTTTTACAAAAATAATTTTTTTTTTAAACTAATGGATGTATTTCTAAATTTTTTTTTTTTTTAATTTTTTATAAAAAATTGCAGAATTAATATCAATAAATTGAAACTACTCCTAAAGGTTGTTTTTCCTTCTTACTTACAGTTGTGTTGTTTGTGTGTAATGACAGAATGTTGTTAAAAGGTAAACCCATTTTTATAGATCAATCTTGGTTTAAAAAAACAGAATAATTTGTAAGCAAATTGTATAAAGTATGAATCCCCATTCAATTATATATGTAATATGATGGGTATTAATAATTAATTAATTACGCTCATTGTGGCATCCCATCCAGACTAGTCTATACTATAATAATAATATGATTCATGATGTTTTGTGAGATGACCCACGCAAAAAAAAGGAGCACAAGACAAAAGAAGAAAAAAAAACACTTGACTGCACAGAGTTAATAATGAATTAGGATTGAACACCTAGATTAGTTTAATTAGTATTAGTAATAAGTTTCAATGTAAAATATAATTTATTATCATATTATAAATTTACATTTACAAAAATGAAATGAAAAATGTCTTTAACTCCTACGTCTACGGCCTACGACAACGTTGATACATAACATAGACATAAACATAGAATATAGAGACTACACTCTACACATAGACTATGACTATGATTCTATGATTCTATGATTCAGTAGGAGTATGAGTATGATTGATAGACAGAATAAATTCATAATATAATGCTATGACTATGCAATATTCAATACCTCTATGATGTGGGTGCAACATTTTTGTTCGATCCCTCTCTGTTAAATTTGAAGAAAAAAATAAAACACTACTTGTGCTACTTTTTTTAGAGGTAAACAAACACAACCAAAATGTATGGGATGTGCTTCCCTCTGATTCCCTAGATACCACAGTTGTGAAGGAAGATAGTATGGTTTTTGACTGTCGCAAAACCGGAAACGTTAGCTTAAAAACCTGAATTCTAAAAGAAAACGAAAACTGGGGAAAAACTCGCTGGTAAAGAAGAGCTACATTCATGAAAGAAGAAAATGCTTAAATTATGTAAGTTCGAGTTTAGTTTAAATAGAACCGTACTAATAAACTTTAGACAGTTATTTCGATATATTTTTGTAGAATTAAGGTTACAAAATTTCCGATCTAAGTTATATAAATATTGAACCTGATGTGATGTAGCAAGTAAAAAAGTTAAGTTTAAAGTAAGTAGGCTACAAAGGCTAAGAATAAGAAAGACTAAGTCATAAGTCAAGTTATTAGTGTATTAAAAAGTTATTAAGTCAGTAAGCAAAGAATTTGTAGTAAGTTTCTACTGAATTGTCTGAATGAATAGGTATTTCGGTAAAAATAAATAAAACTAAAACAATTATAAAAATATTACAGTAAAATAAAGCAAACGTCAAATAAAAAAAAGAATCAACTGTCTAGCTTTAGTTTAGTCTAGAAGTCTAGAACTTATTAAGTTAAGTAGACTATTTTATATCTCTAATGAGACTCATGCTGTAAAGGTAAAACTATCATGCAATGTTTGTAATTGTCATCATAGCTATAGCCTGCCACACAATGGTCGCTCTAATGCATGAACTTCCCATCTGCTAAAGTTAGTTGACAACTCATGCATTCAAGTAACGCACTTAATAAGTTTCCCAATTAGTGCCCCCCGACTTCCTGTTACGCCACCATCCCCGAACAATATTTATATTCTAATGTCCCCTCCCCCCTTTATATCACTGATTTATTACAACTATTTCCGTAAAAAACAAACAAAATATTACTCACCAAGCGCATTTGAGGTTTTATAAGAATTTCATTAAGTGCAGTTATCTAGAATTTTAATTATTGAAAGCATTAGCTGCATTAGTTGATTGTTTAATTGTTACATATAGAATTATTTATTTTGATATATTTACAAATTTCACTTACAGCTGAAGAAGTTTACAGCGGAAAAAGAATGGCACTTGTAATGCTTTTGTAAAATAATGGCAATGAGATCACCACTTCATCAACTTTCTCAAGATTTGAAGAAAATTCACCAAACAATTCAAAACTTCTCATTTGAACTTTAATTGGAATTTTTATTATTGCTAAGTGTCTGTCCATCTCCAAATAATGTCGAAGTCATCAGAGGAGGTGTTGTTAATTGTAAAAAATGTTAAGAACAAGAAGACAGATGGAACATTGTACATGATGGGAGAGCGTATGGCTTGGATGCTCGAGTCTAAACATGTTTTTAACATCAGCTACATGTATGCTGATATAAAAAGTGAGTCAGTCCTGCTTATATTTTTTTTAAAATAGTGTATTATAATTTAGAATTTTCTCTAATGTACACCCTGATTAATATTTTTTTTTCATTTGGCTTTATTTTTTATCAGTATATTTGATGATGTGTTCATTATTATGAACTTATTTCAGCTCAAAAAATCTCACCTGACACAAAAGAAAAAGTTCAGTTACAGGTTATTCTGCACGATGGCAGTGCAAATACATTCCTTTTTAACAATCCCAAGGGACGAAAATGCCAATTGCAAGATCGTGAATCTATCAAAGAATTATTACAGCAGCTGTTACCCAAATTCAAGAGAAAAATTAGCTCAGAACTGGAGGAAAAAAATAGGTAAGATATCTGCTTCTTTGCAAAGGTTGTTAAACATTTAAAGGCATTCTCATTTGAATACAATTACTAGTTGTTGGTTTTTACAAAAGGATAATTTATTTCCCTAACCAAGTGAATAAAATGCTGTAATTAATTTCAAGACAAAAAGAATGTCAAAATTTTAAATAGAATTAAATCACATATTAAAATTTAAACAAAGGAGTTACAGACGCCCATGGTCTATGCAAACAAGGCAGGTAGACTTTTCAACGAAGCTGCTTTAGTTTAGAAATGTGTTTTTAGTTTAAATGTCTACCTTGAATATCTGCACCCTGGCAAAAATTTATAAAACAAAGAAAAAGCCTGTACAGAAGGCAATAGTCCAAGGGAGAACTGTTCTTTTTTCAGTTTGGGACTGTATAATTATTGTGTTTTATTACTGCCTTATTGGATACTCCAGTCTGATGGAAATAATAATTAATGTAATAAAATTGTGTGCTAGATTAGAATAATTAATGAGAACAATGTTAACATCCAAATGAAGTAGATAAATTCTAAAAGGATAATACAGTTAAAAAAAAAAAAAAAAGATTTATTTATGATGGCATTCGCATCACTACCATGGAAACAAGTGAACTCCAACAATTTATTGATTTAGTGTTTTATTACTGACTTATTGGATAATCCAGTATGATGGAAATAATAATTAAAGTAATAAAATTGTGTGCTAGATTAGAATAATTAATGAGAACAATGTTAACATCCAAATGAAGTAGATAAATTCTAAAAGGATAATACAGTTAAAAAAAAAAAAAAAAAAGATTTATTTATGATGGCATTCGCATCACTACCATGGAAACAAGTGAACTCCAACAATTTATTGATTTCTAAACCTATTCCATCAACTTATTAAATTTACTTCACAAATCTCTGAGAACTCTCGTACACTTTATGGACATTTCCCATGTTTTTCTTGTTTTATATTGTCTGCTGAGGAAGGAATTTATCCAATACATTCTTTTAATTGTTTTGTCTTTTTTTTCAAGCCTAAATTTATTTTGTCGAAATATCTATTTAGATTCTACAATTTGCAGTCAATATGATTTTGGAACATCAGCTGAAATGGACAGTGCAATTAAACATAAAGATATTTACCTACCAATAGGAGAGATCAATAAGCTTTGAATATTTTTTTTTTGACAATAGCTCACTATCTTTTCCCTTACCCTAAAGTAGGGATACATTTTCAAATTCTTCTCCCCTGGTAGTAATATGATTTATTTATTTATTTATTTATCTAGGCATTTTTATATAGCTCTTACCTTAAAGCTCTAAGCGCTTTACAATTTTTAAAAACATGTAAACTAAGTAAAATAAAAATGAGACATTAGGATAGTAATTACTATACTATAGAAACAATTAAAATGGCTATAAAACGAGGACACTTTGACACGTTTTGGCCTATACTACAGGATCAACCCGAGACAGAAAATGAGACAGGGCAAGGAGGGTGCATCACAGGTCATAGGCGGACCTAAACAGATGGGTTTTAAGGGACTTTTTAAAAGTGGACAAGGTTTTACAATGAGGGATATGGAAGGGGAGCTGGTTCCAGAACATGGGCCCATGGAAGTAGAAGGAGCGTTCACCGATGGTCTTAGTTTTGGTTCTTGGGATTGAGAGGGTTCTATTGTCAATGGAAGAGCGAAGTTGTCTTGTGGGGATGTAAGGAAGCAACAGTTCAGAGAGATAGACAGGAAAGTGAGGGTCAGTGAACGAGTTGAAGCATAAACCAAAATCACCAGTATACTGTTTGCTCTTGAAGAAAGCCATTTACTATCAAACACTAATTTGTTAGTTTTGCCCTCCAAGTTACTGGTCCACAAAAATACTAGAAGGAGTCTTTTCTAATAATTTTTGTATAAAATAGTTGTCCCTTACTTTGAATTTCTCTGCATTTACTTTAAATAATCAAGATGATATTATTTCTTTCTTAAGAGTTCTACAGCAAGACCCAGAATCCTTCCAGCTTTATAAAGACTTGGTTGTGAGTGGTGTCATATCACCTGAAGAGTTCTGGGCATCCCGAGCGCATGTAAGTTTTATTTTATAAAATGTCCGATTTTTTTTTAAAAACCTGCTATTGTTGTAAACCGACCTACCCACATAGTTACTGGCTATGTACAAATGGGTGACAGCATCAAGGGCGAAATGATTCTGAATTGTAGTTTCCCTTTATTTAAATAACAATCATGTCTATGTACAATTTGTTTTCTGCATCAATTTATCAGAAGAGGTGTATTTGGATAGAATACTTACCTGCAGCATGTTAAATTCCCATTTCGATCAACCTCCCCACCCCAACCACAATAATAATCTCCTATTTTTATTTTTAGATTTTTAAATATAATTCATTCTTAAGAGGTCTAATACATAAGTGCCACCTTAAATTATAAATAAAGACAATTCAGAAATGTCATACATTATAAGTTAATAACTCCAATTATTATTTATAAATTTCACTTCACCCAACAGATGTTATCATCTTCATCCAACAAATTAGCAGCAGGTCAAAATGTTGGGGTCTCTCCTGCATTCTTGGTAAGCCAGACTGTTAATTTTATTTCATTAGGATGGTTTTGTATTTCGTAATTTTTTCATGTGACCTTTCATAAAAATGTTATAAAGTATGGTGAGTGTCAAAGTAAGAATTTAAGCTGCTTGTTCAAAGTTTGTTAGTTACATGTAAATATATATTAAGTAAATTTAATTTATGCTTATTTAAATGTTTTGTTTTTTTTGTACTGATGAAGGCATGTGCCGAAACTTTTATATTTTGTAAAATCATCATTTAAGCTGAACAAACATTGTTTTATTTACACAAATTGTTTGTGTCTAATCGCTCTGCTTGAAACCCCCAAAAAGTTTTGGTTGTAGTTAAAACATGTCGTTGCCATGTTCCCCAGGCTGACATAAAGCCACAAACAGACGGCGCTAACGGGCTCAAGTATAACCTCACAGCGGATATTATTCAGTCCATCTTCAAAACATATCCCATGGGTAGGATCATTTTTTATCTTTTCCACAAAGTCCTACCCTTCTCAACATTTAGTTTTCAGTTGTAACATTCCTGTTTGGGATGGAGATCACTGTGTCTGTTATCTACTTTCTAGTTTTTAATTATTTTTTTTTATACTTTATATCATCTTTTATTATTTTCTTTCCCATTCATATCACATTATATAAAATATGTACCAGCGAACTGAATTTAATCTCCTTTTCAACATTAAAAAATGTGTTTGTGATTATTTTTGTAAAGTCAATAAAATAAGCCCATTTAAATGTAAAACAACCATCATCAGTTAAAAAGAAACATGCCGAAGCTGTCCCACATCTTGTCTCTGAGAGCGAATTTTGGACCCGTTTCTTCCAGTCTCACTACTTCCACCGTGATCGGCAAGCCTTGGCATCTAAGGATATTTTTACTGAGTGTGCCAAAAATGATGAAGAAGGTTTGTAATTATTTTAATGCCGTTGGACTTTGGCCTAAAGGCAAAAATATTTTTAATATTTAAAATATTATCATGAAATATACTATAGTACTATTAGTGCCTGTACTATTTATAGTATTTGATATTTAGATTAACATCAAGCAGGAGGAATCTAGACCATTGTGGGCATTATTTTTAAAGTTTAAAAAAATAATTCTTTTTTTTTCCCTCCCTCTCAGTCATGAAGGAAGAAATCAGTAAAAATGTCAATGATCCTCTAGTTGATCTTACACAGATCAAGGACCAAAACATTGATGATGTAAGTTGTGTTGAGCTGTATCAAAAAATGTGCTCTGTATACTCAAAGGTATGGGTAATGGAGTTGAGAGTAAACACAATCTCTGTTGACTTGTCTTAACCTCAAGAATGTGGTGTCGATTTCTGATGAAAGTCAGAGAATCCACACGTTAAATGGTTTATTTTGAGGGGTAAGTCTTACAGTTACAGTAGAAAAAAAAAATATAGCTGAGACTTAGCTTGATTTATAGAAGAAAATTGTGTCCAGCTTGTTGTCAGGAGACATCTGATGACTGTCATTATACAGCAGTGCTTTTCAATAGAAGTAAACTCTTTCACAAGAACTCTCAATTTTTTTTACCCCAGGAATACAGAGGCATGGTAGATGACACCCGCTCAAGCAACAACATTGCCAACCAGTCAATGATCCGGCGTTTCAACCAGCACTCCACAATGGTTCTCAGAGCAGGGTGCAGCATATCAACCACATTACCATCCACCTCTACTTCAGAAGATGGCAGCAGTCTCCCGAAAGAAGTGTTAAAGCCAGACAATGGTAGGAAGTCAAAATCCACCAATGGCTCTCAGATAAATGGCATGACACCCTTACCAAATGAAACATCCTGCAGCAATTATTTGGAAGAACCTCTCAGAAAAAAGGTCAGTTACAGGTGAATGTCTGGAATGTTCAAAATTATGAGTTCGGACAATGTGGTTTGTTGTTATTTGTTGGACTTAGCTAATGCCCACTTACAGATCAAGATTGAAGACATTTTACTTGTCAGGTTTGTGCACCTCCTTCATCTCTAAATATAACAGAATATTGAAATGATAGAACATTCTAGCTGATCAATATTGGAGTTGCGATTACCAATTTAAAGAAATGATAAGTGTTGAATGATTTAACTTGTTTTAAAAACTTGGATTACATTTTTACCAAAAATTTCAGAGAAAAATTAAAGAAAAGTTGGTTTATGAAGACCTGGATAACGGTCCAACCCAAGAAGGGGTCACATTAAGGTAAAAAAAAAAATAACAAAAAAAAAAAACAGTTTCTGGAAATTTTTGATTAACTATATAAAAAGATATTCTCAATTTTCTTATACAGCATGTATCTTAACTTTTGAAACATCAGTTTAAAAACAGAAATCTAATTCCATTGCTGGCTCTTTATTGACTTTTTGTTTGTCCAAATCTTCTGGTTACATTCCAGTTTTAACTGATGAACATTTATTATTTAACACACTTGTCAAATATTAACAGATTAACTCACATGGATCGTTACCTCCATGGGCCCACCCCAGCTACAAGCAGCTCATCACATATGGACAGCTCGGTGTCTATGGGTGAATTCAGCACAGAAGATGCCATACAAACTTTGGCATACAATGTGGGCAGCTGGGGTACCTCTAGACACAAGGTTGGTCAAAAAACTTATTTTATTATTTTGCATTGAAGGGACAGCTCGGACATAGTGCTGCACAATCATAAGGACACGGGACATTATGCTGCACAGTCAGACGTTGGCCATTGTGCTGCAGTCAGCAAAACACAGGCCATAGTGCTGCACACTCAGTTAGACACAGGACATTTTGATGCAGTTCTATCATTTACTTGTAAAACCAGAACAAGAAATAAATAATATTAAATTTAACACTGCAACAAAAATACACATTCATTGTCATCAGCTGACAGGTTGTTAGCAGAGAAACCGGTAGAAAATGGAGTGTTGTTTTTTTTTAATGAATTTATTAAAAACTGACTTGTTTCCAAATTTGTATTATTATTCGATAGTGGTAATATTTTGTTGACTGAAGATTAACATTTGTGAAATAAATTTCAGATTAATTTTTATTGGAGCGGGCAAGACGAAAAAAATGGAATTTATTATACTATTGTAGATTATATAAATTTTTAATTTTTCTTTGCTTGGGTGATAATTGATAAATCATATTTAAAAGAATAAAGGAGAATTAATTTATTAAAATTCAAAGAGCCACATGCAGTCACGCGTTGCTGACTGTTGTTCTAACCTCTAATATTTACATTTGAAATTGATAAAATATAAACAAAAGTTCTTAGATGCCATAGTTGTGCCTGATCATTTTGACCACCTTGGTAGGATATCTGTGTTAGTGGATTCACCACTGAGATTTGTGGCTTCCAACAAATCCACAGTGAGAATGTACTTTTTAATAATTCATTTATTGCATTGTTTGACCCAAAGGTTTATTAAATGGATCTCATGAGTAGGTTTTTAAAAAAACTCTAGAGGAAGGAGACATAAATTACTTGTAAATGTTGATAAGATTTTTAGAAAACTTGAACTGACAGTAGCATATGTCTATATAGGGTTCATCTTGGCATGAATTTTGCAACAATTAAATATGTGATTTTATTAGCAATATCTAAACTTATGATTGTGACTGAAATTTCTCTGTAGCTTCCAGTGAGGTCGTATGCCTTGTCGGTGTTAGGGGAACTGTCTCCTGGAGGTGCTCTCATGTCTGGGACTTCCCTTCAGAAGCTTCACCGTAAGTTCAGCTGGATCTTTTTGGCTTGTTGTGTTCCAGATGAACTTTAGTATTTGATTCCATTTCATCTCTTAAAACTTAATTTTTCTGTCATGAACTTTTCTTAACTCACCACAAAATTGTTGATTGTTTTAATTCATTTAACTTGATATGTTCAAGTGATATATTTGAGTATGAGTGAATTATCCAAGTATTTTTAAATTTTGTTGACACGAAAAGAGCAAGTAACTCCAGCTACAAGAGACGAGATCAAACAGAACTACAATGCCATGTGTGAACTGCTGCGACATTTCTGGGCTTGTTTCCCAGTTTCATCTAAAGCTCTGGAGGATAAGGTAATTATCAAGCTAATGTAGTCATCACCTGGATAGTCGACCAAGCTTATCTTGACATCACCTGGAAAGTGATGGCAGGGATGGCAGGTATTAGTGAACTATGCAGATTCCACTCCACCATTCTCCTATTAGGAGGTGAAGATTCAGCCCAGTGCTCTCTACTAGTGAATGAAGATCTCTAGGTCACCAGGTTCATTAGTAATTTGAATAACTAGCCTATGATTTAACTCTTGAGCTCTTCTGGCTCATCTACAGGTCATCCAATAGTCAAGTTGGTAACTCTTTTAAGTAAGGTCCTTTCACTCAAGTTCACCTCTTTTTCAGAATACAAGACCATATTTTTTCCCCCACTAAATGATGTGAAAAGTACCAGGGATACCAAGTTGCATAAGTTGTTTGTTTCAACTTCAAACTGATTTTGATAAAACAAATCAGAAGCAGAGGAGCAACATTGCCAGTTATTGGATTTGCTTGATTTACTTGTGTGCTGAGTTGGCTCACTGCTAACATTTTTGTGGTAACTTTTGTGTTAACAAGAATCAGGGTCCAATCTTAAACTTGATGTGTGAAACTTTAGTGCGCCTATGTTGTCCTTATCTTCGTACCCGAATTTTTTAATCTCTTTTTTTTTTCAGGTTTTAAAGATGAGAGTGACTCTAGAAAGATTTGAGATGAGCAAGCTGATGCCATTGAAGGAGAAACTAGAACAATATCATTATGCAATGAATGTAAGTCTCTGATTTAAATATTGGTTAATTTTGTAAACATCTGCCTTTTGGTTTTCATCTGTTCACATATTTTTCATGCAATTCTTTTTTAGAAAACATAAATTGTTAGGGAAGACCTTTCACACAGGTGGGAACTGTCTTGCTATCAGTATCCAGCATGTTGTCTGCATTTTCTATAATGGGGTTTACCATCATTTAAAATCCACCAGCTCCTTTTGGGAGAAGTAAAAAGATGTCACCCTAAAATTATCAATTTGTTCCGTATGGATTGAATTTGGAAGAATCAGGGCTTTGGGTTTAGAATTTATTATTCCACAATTTTGAAAAATAGAATTTGAAGTACATGCACATCACAGACGTAATGACTTGGTCATTAATATTATTTTGTTCACTAACTTATACAAAATGAACTCTGTTTAGATTTTTTTTTCTTCCTTTTTTTTTTTAAAACATAGAAAGTATAAAAATTATTGAAAATATAAATTGACTAAAAGGGAAAGTAACCCGAGTCATCAATTATTTGCTCTAATTTTTTATTCATTCACTTTGAGATTGGTAAAATTTTCTTCCAGCTGACTGGCCATTTGGAAGAAATGCTGAGGGCAGCCTACATCAAGTTTGACATGTGGCAAGCAAAACGAAGTGCAAGGAGAACATGACATCAAGTCTAGCATTTATCTGTTCAGCAGTGTGGAAGGTTCTGTTATCCGTATCAAGTGTTCTCTCATCATGCTTTCAATTGGATTATTTTGTACATTAAACTTTGTTTTCTTTCTGTGTTTCTGAGAATTTGTTGTTTTTTTTTGAGTTAGGTTAGAGAACTCTTCTTTTAGTGTAATAAATTACTGACATCCACTGCCTTCATTGCTTACTCATCTTTGTGAGATTAAAATCCTAAATGTTACTGAAGAGAGTAGAATATGTTTTTTAAGAGTAAATCCACTTTTTGAGATGCAATAAATATTTTCTTACATTAACATGTTTGTTTGATAAATATCTAAAACTAAAAATTCGAACCGATTCATAGATTTTCAAGAGGGAAGATGCTGTCTGTCCAGCAATTTTTCTCTCACCTCTGAGGATGTTAGTTTATGGAATGCTCTGTTGTTTGTAAAACAATACCCTAAAAAAAAATCTACTGTTTAAAACCTAACAGTACACTTTTGTATTGTGTGCTGAATTAGCCTTCTTTGCTTATGTGTACAGGCATTGACACTTTATCACAGCCAGGTCTCTTGTCTGTTGTGACAGAAATTAATTTTATCTCTAAGACTAAATGACATTTTTGGCATTGAATTTGTATTAAACCGATATCCTAAAAATAAAATGAGGAAGGATGGAAAGATTTGATAATTTTGAGCTCATTAACTGAGCATTGATTGGTGAAAGAATTTAAGGGATATTTTCGTTTCGAAAAGGGCAATAACATTGACTGTGCCATTCATTCATTTGTATATTCGGTATTTAAAGAAAAGAATCTATGAATTAGAAATCTAGGAAAATCGAAAGCATCATGTGTGGAGACAGTTTGATTTCAAGCCTCTAATTACCTTATAAAATAAAAAAATAATTAATTCTTTTTATGTCTTGGTGAATTAAAAAATTTCTTTTACTATTTCATCCAAATTAAAATTTCAAAATCAAAATTAGGCATTTATTTTATGAGTTGAATCATGGATAGAGAGCATGTGAAAAACAGACATGTTACTTTAATTATTATTATAAGCCAGAACCACAATAAAAGTGCAGGCTTTAGCTATAGCATCTATCCTGTGATACAGCAGACTAAAGAGAGAGAGGGGGGGGGGGGGAATTACAAGTGTAAGCATTGGTAACTGGAATATTTTGAAAATCTCCTCTAAATTTTTTTTTTAATTTTAAAAAAAAAAAAAATATTTTTTTTTTTTTTTTTTTTTTTTTTTTAAACGGTTTTTTGCTCCCTTGTGCCTTGTTCGCAGAATTGAAAAAAAAAAATGAAATAATATTTTCGAAAATGAATATTCATATTTCATATCGATAATAGGTCTTTTTGATGATTTGGACAAAGAGGACTAAATTTTCTTACAAAAAAAGAAACTGAATACGTACGCTGCTAGCTAAGAAACTATTTTAAGTTTAAGAGAATAAATAAATACATAAGAATTTCTGTAAAAATGAAGGACAAGCCCAAGGAATTAATTTCCTTAACACTAAATTATTTTTGACGCACTTAGATATCGCTTAATTCTACTTCCGGCGACGTCATCACCCTTTGACAGAATTTAAATGAGGTATGAAGATCATCTCGCACTTAGATGGCAGTAAGCCCAGGTCAGAGGTTGGCCTTAAATTAAGGCATAAGGCTAATTGACTCTAGTCTTATAATTTTAAAAATCAGATAATACAAATTCTCTTTCTCTTAAAAAAGAAAATGTTTCATTCTTTAATATTCTCAGCGAGTTAGCAGTGATTGCAAACATGTTTGTAAATACTTGGAAATTACAAAAGTAAAAGACGAGAGACATTTTTATAAAGTAAACAAAATGTGAAAGAAAATACGGAGGACTTATAATAATATACAGTTAGTGGCAGTGGCGTAGCTTACCATATTTTCTGTATGTCAAGTACAGACAAAAAGGCTCACAGCAACCGGAGGCGGAGTAGCGGGGGGGGGGGGGGGGGGTAATTACAAGTGTAAGCATTGGTAACTGCAATATTTTGAAAATCTCCTCTAACTATGATGGTTAGGAAATTCACAAGTTTACCCCTAGCATCTGAGAAGAGCTGGCAGTGAGCTCCAATACCATTCTGGGACAAGTGCTTGACAAAGTAGAAATGTTCCCTTGTGGGGCACCTTATGGAGCTAAAGAATCGTCAGACCTGTACACTATATTATACTCAAATACTAAACTTCAGCACGGATAACATTTTCAGAAACTTGTTAAACTAAAATGTCCTGCAAGTTTTGTTTCATTAGTTTATTCTTAATCAACATAAAAATAATATCAAAGTTTACATCAAACATTGAAATAAGCTACTGGCAGAATGATGATAAATGAAGCACAATAGGGGTTGAAATTAATAAAAATACCCATACATTTGGTAAGGTACTGACATTATGTGTTCAGATATTTACAAATTCTCTAGGAAAATTTTTTTTATGATTAAAGAGTCGAGAAATATTTGACAAGTCCATTATTAGTTTTCTAGATAAATTTTCCAGAGCTTTAGGTGAATGTGAGTAATGACTGTTTCCTCTAAACACGCATGTTACAACATTCAATCAAGTACTGTACACATCAGACATTGAAATAAATATTACTTTTGGCTCACCCAACTTGCTAAGGTATGTTCAGAAAATTCTATTACCAATAATAATAATAAAAATAGCCTAAGTGAAGAACAATTTAATGGAATAAAAGATAATTAAAAAATCGCTCTACTGTCACCATTTATCAGCTTTTACACGTGTTTCGCAATATTTAAAAAAAAAAGCAATGGAGCTTCTGAGTTGTATTGGGTAAGCTGATAAAAAAACAGACACAAGCAGTTTCAAAAAGACACATCAATTATTTTATTAAAAAATTGACGTCCATTTCTTATAACAATAGACTGCTTGTAACTGTATTTTTGTCAGACATACTCACCTGAGGGCAAACATTTTTTTTTATTAACTGATTTAGCATAAATGCATCACTGTGAAAAAGATTAAATGCTTATATCTTTGTTTCAAATTGTCAACGCACGCAGAGACCAACAATAATGCTTGATTGTGTCTCGTTGAAGAGACCAACAAGCATGCTCTCATTCATACAACTCACATTCCTCTCACATATCACCTTTCACCCTGCTGGTATCAATAATTCCTTTCATCTATCACATTTCATTCAATCAACAATCATTCCTTTCACAATCTCCCTTTCATTCTAGCAACAATCATTCCTTTCACAGACCATCTCCCTTTCATTCTAGCAACAATCATTCCCTTCACAGACCATCTCCCTTTCATTTTAGCAACAATCATTCCTTTCACAGACCATCTCCCTTTCATTCTAGCAACAATCATTCCTTTCACAGACCATCTCCCTTTCATTCTAGCAACAATCATTCCTTTCACAGACCATCTCCCATTCATTCTAGAAACAATCATTCCTTTCACAAACCATCTATACTATCATCCATAAATCGTAAAAATTTCTTTCTTCAAAACAAATTAAATGTTCTAAACTGACCATCCTATTATTTAGTAATAAGAATTTAACTTGACAATCATTGTCAAATAACATTCTATTTCAATGAAGAAATAAAAATTATCTCAGGCTTTCTTCCGCCTGCTATTATGAACTTCGAGAAGACTGTTTGATAAGGAATGGTGCATTTGTGATCTTTCTCTGGCAATACCGCCATTGAACATTGTTTTAAATAAATGATAAAATAGTTTTTTAATAAAAAAATTTAATTTTAAAAAAAATCCATTACTTGTTTTTGTAGACAATTTGTAGAACTGTCAGTTTTTTGTTTTTTTTTTTTAATTTTTAGAAAGCATTTTGATTTATTTGGTTAAATATTTATGTTGACAATGTTTTCTCAATATGTAATTGCTGCATTTTTCCAGAAGCACAACCATCTAATATTTACTGGTAGCATGTTTCATGACTAAATATCTCTCCCTTGTTGAAATATTTGGAATTTTTGTAGCACATAAACTCTATAAGATCAGTAAGAAATAATGCAAGAAGTTGATTAAAAACAGGATCGAATGCCATGTTAGATTTAATTTGTGTAAGATACTCATTCAAAATAACCAAAGCAACATCCTGTTGATCGATACATTAACTCAGAGTAAATGCCCAGAGTGACATCCTACATAAGTTCTGCTAATCATTCAAAGGAGAGGTTGAATACTCTGGAAAGCCCTCAATCTTTTTTTTTTTAAAAACAACCACCAAGACAAATTGTCTGGATTAGGCACACAAAAATGTGTGAACTTCACATTTACTGAAACATGTTCATCAATTAACAAACAGATACCCATTTGAAATATCAACTGCAAGATGCTTATGTTAAGCCTTGTCAAGTCTGTCATTTCCTACTCTGGAAACTCATTTAGTGTCTGTTAGAAGACTTCTTGACCTTAAATCATAATTATGGGGAATTTTTTTAAAAACATTAATATAATGTTTTCTAAATTCTGTATGTACAATGGTTTCAAAAATCTCAAAATGTTTATGGTTTACAAATGAATTCAATTCTTCCTTTCAAGAAACCAGATCTGACAATAAGTTTATATACATTTCTGGCACAATCCAGTAAAATTCTTAATGCATTTATTATCAAACATCAAATACTTATCCCGATAACAATGAAACTAACATATCAGAGAACTATCATGAAATGCCCTAATCTCAACAAAAAAATTCCCCTAGGATAACAAGTCATCAATATCTTGCAGCAAATCATCAATAGGTTCCACATCTCCTGTAATAAAATTATCATCATCTAATTCTTCATCATCAAAGAAGCTGAATTCATCTTCAATGGACAGACGATTCTTTTTCTTCAAAGGCCTGCAAGTGAACAAAATTATAGAACTGTATAATAATAGTTCAAAACTCATAAACATAATTAAAAGTATTAATACCTTGTTTGATCAAATTAATTAATTACCGTATCAAAATTCAATTGTAGAGCTTGACGTTATTCTAGAATATAAATGCATTAAAGTATTGCACCTGATTAAATATATATCTATATATTAAACAACTAAAAGAACCTGTTAATTAAAATGAATATATCCTTCAAACATTTTCTTCTTCACTGAATTGTTTTTGTTTTTCTTAGAAGAAGCTAATACATTTCTATGATTCTCATAATTTTTATCTAATAGAGAAATAATTTAAAAGTTGAATGCTCATATATTTTAAGAAGTGACACAGAGCAATAATGCCTTGGCCCCAAAAATAACATAATGAGTCACTGCAGAAATCCCTTGACCACTAAGCAAGTATTAGACTACCCACAGTCAATGCCAATATAATATTTTGTTGGATTTATATAACAAATTAGAGGTTTACTAAAAAAAAATTATAATAATATACCACCCCTATCATTTCTTTAATCTACAAATATTAGATTTTTGAAAACCCCAGCATTTGTTGATGAAGGCTTAAGTACATTTGTTGTTCAACTTACTCAGTTTCTGTATTTAGAACTTCTTGTATTTTGTGTTTATTTCCCACGGGCATGGGTGAGACAAGACTGACAGCTGATGTGGTTGGCACCTGGCAAAAAGTTGACCCGGAGCCTGGCGAGGCATTCTCTGTAGAGGGATTACAGTAAGAACTGTCTGTTAAGTCCTCACTCTCAAATGAATTATATTTGGTTTTTGAGTGTGTAGGAGCCTTGGCACTGAGATTGGGTTTCTGAGAAACTGATGATGTATAATCCTGTGTTGCTGCAGTTCCAAATGGAGCAGGTGATGAAACTTGGTGCTGAACTGAAGATCTACCAATGTCCACTGGATGGCCTGGCTCATTGGACTGTTCTAGACTCTTCTTTCTTTTAAAGAGCTTTGCTTTATTTGTCTTTTTGTTAGCTGCAGGGGTTCCGACAGATTTGAATTTCAGTCTCTCCTGAGATGCTCCATTGTTAGGTTCAAAATGGGATGTGGCCAATGCAGTGTTGGATGATAATGCCAATGTTGAATTCATCACTGGTTGGTTTGAGGTTCTGGGAACAGGACAGACAGCCACTGTTGACTCCTTACAAGGTTTCAGTCTTTCTGTAGTTGGTGGATCTGTAATGTTTCATAACGATAATTACCAAAAAGCACTCAAAAATCTTTTGATGTGGAAAAAGATCTACAGCAGCTGAAAGTCCAAGCATGGAAAAGAAAGGCATTAGTTAGGTCTGAGTGGAAGGAAGTAGTGAGGCAGACCAAAGCCTTACATGGGCTGTATCGCCACAGGGATGGATGGACTCAAAAATCTTTATTTATAACTCAAATGATGTGAAGAAATGAAGAAAAACAAAAAGCTATATTTCATACAATGGAGTTGAAATAAATGGAGAAAGTCTATTGCTAACAAAAAAAATTAAGCATATTGCCAACAAAAATTAAGTAATGTTTATAAATTTCATGTTGCTTATACTAGACTCTAATCAAAACAATATAAATGCATCTTTAATTTCAATATACTCAGGAAGGAGAAAAATCCTCAAATGTATCTCACCAAAATATAGTATATTATGATGATAGATTATCTTAATATAAGTAATTCCTATGGGAAATAATTTGCAAGCCCAATTCTGCAGACTGGAAAACTTAAAAATCAATGGAATAATATTTAAATTTCCTACTATTGCATTGTTGATGTACTGGTATTAAGATTAAGCTTGTTCAAGAGAAGTATATACTGACCTAAATTAAAAATGATGGGGGTTATTGGTGCTTTTGGTCTTGCATCAAAACCTCTGATCGGACTGGTTGTTGCAGGATTGGATGGCAATGAAGGGGCAGAAGACAATGTTGTCCCAACCTTCTGAGCTTGTAATTCTAACCTCCTACGACGTTTCTCTGCCATGATTTCGGAGAACGATTTGATGATTACCCCTGATTGTTGTTCAGGTGTTTGTTCTGGTGGCTGAGGGAAAAGGAGAAGGCTATAGATTTTGCTTATTAGAATTTTTCTTTAATTTATCTACTTTAAAAAAAAATTATGTTAAGATCTCAAACCTTGCAGTTTTGCTAATTTTGAAGCCAGCAATGTCTTTCAGAACACATTTTAATTTTATACGTTGCACTAAGCAACCCAAAAAAAGCAAGTAATTTACTCAAATACTCATTTTTAATTAATTGGTGACATTCCATAAAAGATTTCATTGGAACTATCTTAAGACTTAAGTAAGAATATTTGCTAACAACTCTTGCTTACTTCACTGGTTGTGATCTTGGCTTTAGACAATTGTGTGTCATCTCTGTTGCCGAGTCTGGAGCTTATTCCGACCCGTTCAGCAACTACTAATTTATCTTTTATAGTCCCGGCATTGTTAAGCGTTGGCCTTCTACCAAAATTTCCTTTAGCAGAAAGTGTTAGTCCATCTGCCCAAATAGCAGCAATGGGATGGGGCCCTCTTTTCTGAGGAGCAACTTTAGCTGTTGGAGCTGTCAATGGCTCAATACTGGATGACTGCTCATCGTCTTTAGAAAAGGCTGGAGAAAATAATATTTGGTTCTTTACATTTATATTTCTTGTTACATAGAAACAGCATGAACAAATATCCTTACATTAAATATCACTTCATTAAACAGCATGCAAGCTTTACAAAATATTTACACAATACTTATAAAATGAAAACATTTCAGTAATGTTTTATTATCTATTAACCCTATAACTGTTAAGTGCATTTTTCCTTAGTATCTTATTAGACATTTTTTTTTTTTTTGACTTTGTACCACGCTTTGAGCCTTTGGTGATGAAGCGTGTTTTTGAAATGAAATTTATTATTATTATTATTATTTTTAGCATTAATGCATGTCAAAATGACAAAATCCCATAAAAATGAATTCAGAGACCCTTACAAGTATATACCTCATATAGAATGGGTCATGGCACTCATAATCCCAATGCACAAAAAAGGATCTAAGTTGGTCTCCTCAAACTACAGAGGAATCTCCCTCCTTAGTGTAATGTAAAAAAATTCTTACAAAACTTATAGCAAGAAAAGTAGAAAAGTATAGTGAACAGATCCTAGGGGAAAATCAATGCAGATTCCGGCAGAATAGGTCAAACACGGATCATATTTTTACTATAAGATGTCTCCTGGAGAAATGTAACGAATATAACATTGACATACACCAACTATACGTGGATTATAAATTAGCATATTATAGCATAGACAGGAATTACTTATACAATGTTCTACAAGAACTTGGAGGCCCTAAGGGTAATAAGGGGAGAGACTGCAATCTGTTTGACTCATTTTATATTGGAATCCCTAACAAGCTTACTCAACTCATACAAATGACAATGGCTAACTCCTAAAGTAGACTCAAGGTCAAGGGAGAATACTTAAGGGAGTTCCCAGTTAATCGGGGCCTCAAACAAGAGGACTCACTATCATGTATCCTGTTTAGCATCACGCTAAAAAAAAGGTATTAGAAGCATACACGTGAGCAACAGTGGAACCATAACAAGCTTCTTCCACAGAGGTATTACAGGACAACAACCATCAGGAACCTTATATAGACAACCTGGCATATGCAGACGATATAGCCCTACTGGTTAGAAACAGTACCGTAATGACATAATTAAAGCATTCAGAGAACTTGAAAATGCCTCAGTCAAAGCTGGTCTTGATGTACCATAAATAAACCGAAGACAAAATATATGTTAATGTCAAGAAACTCCCATGCTGATGATAACATCAATATAAACAACCACAAATTTGAGAGAGTGGCTACATTCAAATATCTAGGGACAACTATAAACGAGCACAATGAAATAATGTCGGAGATGAAAGAAAGGATAACAACAGGCAACCGTTCCTATTTCAGCCTACAAAAGCTACTGGGAAGCAAAAACCTCTCAAGGGGAACAAAGAAGACAATATACACCACCATCATAAGACTAGTAGTAACTTACGCTAGTGAGACTTGGACCCTTACCAGAAAAGCAGAGAACCTGCTCAATACATGGGAGAGGAAATTCCTCAGAAAAATATACGGCCTAGTAATAGAAAATGATATCTGGAGAATCCGTATAAACCAAGAGCTTAACCAATTGTACAAAGCCCCACCCATAGTCGAAGTGATAAAAAAAGGCAGACTATGCTAGGCAGGACATATTGAAAGGATGCCGGAATGTAGAGCAGCAAAAGTGATATACAAGCAGAGACCTAAGGGCAGCCGTCACCAGTCGTCCAAGGCTGAGATGGATCGAAGATGTAGAGAAGGATTTACACCAGTTAGGTGTTCAGGCATGGAGGTGGAATGCCATGAATCGTTCCGAATGGAAGGATGTGGTGGAGCAGGCCAGGGCTCTACATGGGCTGTAGCGCCACTAATGATGATGATCACAAGTTTATATTTTCTGAAACCTCATTGGACGAGGTATCTTACGGCATTCATTTTTATATTTTGTACATTGATATTGACCTTGACCTTTACAGAGTGAGTAAAATAAATTTTACTACTAAACTTCTGCATTCCACCCACCCCAATCTTACTATTTTATTTTATCTATCATTACATCAGCTTTTTCAGATTCTAAAGGAAGTATACTTTCTGAAATGTTAAGTTATAGGTATTTATTTTGAAAAATGTAATTTTTGTGATTTTCTTTTCATTCATTAACTTTAAATTTCTTTCTTACATAAATGGAAAGCGGGGGAGAGAGACACGACACAATGAGGTAAAAATTAATTTTCAAATAAAGTTATTCACTCCATTTTTATTAATTAATAATTCAGTTCATACAGTCTTTGTCTTTTCTGTTCTAAAATATCTTTGAAATCATTGTTTTCATTTTAATCCATTTGAAACGATTCCAATAATGAATGTCTGTGTTGATTTTGCAAACTAAAGTGGGGAAACGTCTCCAGCATCAGACATAATGGCAATAAAAAAAATTGAGCTAATTTCACTCCTGATTAATCACCAAACAACCAAAAACAACCCTGTTAAAACCATGTTTACACATAGATAGGAACGGAAATAGGAAATAGGAAGCAAAGTCATTTCTATAGAGTAATTTCTCCTTAACCAAAGTACATTTAATCATGCACATTTTTATGATGATTTTGCTAGTGGTCGATTATATCGGCTGCGACACCAAAGAAAGGTGCCTTACGGCCAATCATGGGCCTTTACGACAGTTATAAGGTTATTTACAGTAAAGAGAACATATAAAAACTTAGTGAGAGTTGCAAGTATTGAATGTTTAATACAGTGGTTAGAAAATGAAAAGACCGGCCAAAAAAGTGAAACTATTTTTAGACATAAAAATATCATAAAACACTAACAACAATGCTCACTCACATGAACTCTTCATTGCTGGTGGTAAATATATTTGGCGCTCTGTTTTAGATTTCTTGTCATGTTTGTGCTTATGTTTATGTTTGTGTGTTTTCCTGCTATCTTCAACTTTCTGATTAACTTCATCTTGCTTGACTAGAACGTCAACTGAAGGAGAAAGAAATATAAAATGATTACAAGTGTTTCAGTCACACAATTATTTTGCCAACATAATTAATTATGCTCTAATATCAGCCATCATCAAAGATAAGTTTCAGAGTAAATAAAAATGTTTCAAAACAAATAATTTTATTTTTTTTATTTTCAAGATATAGTACTAATCTACATTTAAAACTGAATATCATTTAATTTTTTTTTTTAAATATATCAAATATTTCTTAAGACTAAATAAAAGTAGATTTTTTAGATTTTTTAAAATTGAAAATGCAGTAGGTACTTACAGTCCTGGACAATGTGCCTCCTGGGTGAACTAGGTGCCTCAGGTTCAGTTGCTGTGAGAGAAGGTTCATAATTTAACTTCTTGTTTTGAATTTGTCTAATCACATACAGCTTTTCTCCATTTTTGTTTAATGTCAAGAGCATAAGACAACGGCCTTTAAATTGTATGGCCTTTCATTTGCTATCTAATGTTTAATTTAAGATTGAGAATCTGCTAAATGATAAACATTAGGTTAACTCTCATCTCAAGTCACATAAAAAAACTGCAAAGAAAATCAATCATAAAAATTATAGTAAGTTTTATTTTTCTCCAGTCTAGCTAATACGACTGAAAAAATATCAATGCCCCAGAGACCGTGTGCTTAAAATGTTAAATGGCAAAGAATAACTTTTTGCATATAATAAGGTTGAATTGAGAGTAATTAATTGAAGATTATAAATCTTTCACATCCTTCTATGCCAACACTCAGAATTGTAAATTTATTGAAATAACTTGTCTGATGATGTTCAGGCCATGTGTGCACTGCACAAAATTTGAGGTAGAAGACTGTATTTTTTTAATGGATCTCACACATTTATTTATTTTCACTATTGAAGACATAACAGGCAAGCAAGATAAATTGATGCCAACTCCCCCATTTTGCAGGCCTTCAAAACACACATTAGGCCGCCATCCTATTTGTCTCAGAGAGTACTCAAAATTAAATGTCTTCAAAACGATAATATCTTAAATTAGAGTATTTTATATTTACTAACTTTCAATCCCATCAGCTGATCCTGTTGCTTTTTGCTTTAAAGCTCCCTTTTGAATCTTTTTCATCAGAGCTCGCCTCCTCAAACTTTCAAAGGGTGACTCAACAATAGTGCGTTCTTTTCCATCGACTGTAATATTATTAAGCAATAACAATAACTCACACAAGCAGATTTAGCTATCAATTACTATTTATCAAAAAGTAACCATAAAAAAAATTATTTTAAAATATCATTGTTTTAAGGTCCATTAACTTGAAATGTTTTAAAATTGCATAAAACTAAATAAGTGACAACAGTACTTCATTCAATATTAACAAGATGTGGTACGTTTATGGACATTTGCATTTGTAATTCTGTGAAACCATTATTAAAGCTTAATCTAGATTGTTTAGTTTACACAAATTGCTTGTGTCTCATTAATCCAATAGGAGACTTTACAAGCATCTCTTTATTTTTTACTCTTCTTTCTATCCACCTCGTCACAAAAATGACTGAAGACTAGAGATTTTTTAAGACATTATTTACACACAAAAAATATATATTTATGGCATCCTTCAGCCTTTGTGAAACTATGGAGTAGCTCATTGACACTTTCTTGTATGGCTTATGAGGTTGATCCTGGCATGGCAGTCTTGGCTGCATTTCTGGCAGGAGAACCTGACTTGTAGTTTACTATAGCTTTCATTAATGCTTTTTGTTGCAAGGGCCTCGTTTTGCATATCTTCTGCCTCTTTCATTCCCTCATACACTACTGTTCGCCAGCCGGAACGGTGATCAGAGATGATCTCCCATTTGACGATTTCTATGCCGGCTTCCCTCAAATTTCTTTTCCATAGGTCCTTAAAAGTCTCAAAAGAATATTTTTATACACATTTTAAAAAAAACTAAGTTACTCACAGGCATTTGAATTATTTTCTTCTTTTTGCCATGACCCCATTTTGGAAGACAAGACAGTGGTCCGTTCATCATTTCCACCTTCCTCAGAACCAGCTAGTTCACAGTTACGTTTAAGGCTTCGCCATGGACGCCTTTTGGATTTCCTATGCTCTTCAGTAATTCTTGAGTTGCTAGCATCATCTGATTTTGAACCTGAATCTAATATAATCATTTTAATTATTTTTGTTGAACGAAGTTTGAAATTACAAACTAAAAAAATATCTGAAATAATCACTGATAAAAAAACTTTCTCGAAAATAACCAAACAGATAATATATATGATTGTTGATTATCAAAATATTAACTATCTCGTGAGTAAGCAAATTAGTTTCGAGCCGGCATCACTACCATTTCAATTTTATGTAAACTTTTGCTGATTCATTAAAAGCAATTCTCATGCCAATTTTTTATAAAGTACCGTACTCAATAACATATAGTACCATTTTGTATAAATATGATTAAATAGGATAACAACAAGAATCTGATAACATTTCAAAGCTGTGTACCATTTATTAACAGGATTTGTCTTCCTTGTTGCTTTTCTGACTTTTCTTCTTTGTGAATATGAGGCAACATTCCCAGTCGCTCTTTTACTGGTGATGATTTTGGCAATGCTAATGAAAAAAAAAATTGTTTTTTTTTCTAAATAATAAGTCTAAACAGGATTTTTAACAGTTAACAATGACAAAGTGTTGTGGAGAAAGTGGGTTGGGGGGGAGGGGGGGGTGTAATGTCTATCTACTCAAAAATAAATCAATAGGTTGACTCACTGATTTAAAATTTTACAAAAAAATATTTTTTTTAAATCAAGAAATTTGCTAACCCGTTTGTTGAGATGCAAGAGCTTTCATTTTCTCTTGTTTAATTTCCTCCAATGATTTGATTTTGACCTGTGCCAATGGGTCAGGCTCATCCCCAGAACTGCTTGTTGAACTTTTCCTAGTTTTATGGACTTTTGGTTTTTGAGGCAAACTGGTGGAAGCAACACTTTTAGATGAACTAGTGCCTTCCTTTTTATTGAGTCTTGAGAGTGGACCAACGCCTGAATTGGTTTTCAACAAACTTGGAGGCTTTCCAAGGCGATCTCTTACATTCAAAACAAGTGGCTCTCTAACTCTACAAGATACCAAATCATCAGAGTCATAATCCACATTGACCATCCGACGGCTGAGATTTTTCCCTCTTTTTCCAAGACTTAAATGAGTCCTATCTGATTTTCTTGAGGTGGTTTTGGTAACTCTTTCTTTCTTTATTCTGGTATCTAATGCCAATGGAGATTCTTTCTTTTGCTTTCTTAGAAGACTTGCTTTTGCTAAGAGTGAATTTTTCGGATGAGATGTTATACATTAAACTAGAATTTGTATTTCTCTTTACATAAACTTTTTTAAAAAACGAGCTATTTCATTTTTAATAAATTCAACATGTAATGAATTAATAGCATAAATTTTATGTTTAAATAAAACATAAATAATCCTGAAGAGATTTCATGACAAAAGATATTATCTGAACTTAATGATATAATCTAGACTATGATATATCATTTAATTAGCTACCAGCGCAGTTTTATTACGTATAAAAATAAATAAAATTATTTCTGAAGCAGCACTAATAACTTTCCTTGATACCAATCATATGTGCATATGCGATGAAACAAATATTAACTACCAGAAGTATTATTGGTGTGACAAGATAATTCTTTACTTCACATAAAAATCACAGACTTCTAAAGGTGATAACTAAAGGTATGAAATATTTATAAAATTATGGCACTTGAGTTTCAAAATAATAACAACATGAAGCTTAAGTCATCTTTTGCAATGATGACTTCTTACCCTTTACTGTGGCAGCATTCTCACTTTCAACATCAACAACTACACGTCGAACATCTGGCTCTTCTGTAAATGTTACATATATAAGATAACGTGAAATTAACAAATTTCTCACTCACTAAAATGTTGACATGATTTACTAAACTAGAAAAGTGATAAATATTCCTCATGAAAACCTAAAGCCTATAATTATTATAAAGTTTAGGTAAGTTTTTTATTTTCTTACAGAAAATAATTAAGAAATAATAATTAATTTTTTTAAAAAGCAGTTGGTATTTTAGAATGATCAGCAGTGCCTGATGGTAAACAAAGAATAAAGCATTACCAAACTGTGGATCTTCATCTGAGCTCTCTCCATCACTATCAGATGAACTAGATTCAGATGAATTAGTGGAGGATGCCTCCTCACTTTCTTCTTCTTCTGATGATGATGACGATGCTGAGCTTTCCTCAAAAGGGACATTGAGTTGTTTTTTCTCTAAAGGTGGTGGACTTTTTTCAGCTTTCGTTGTTGGAACAGGTGCTGTTCCTTCAGCAGCTGAACATGTTAGGTTTACAAATTTAGATTTAAAGAAATAGTACAGGATCCATTAATTCCTTACTAAATATGATTTGTCAACATTTTTAACAATATTTACCTAGGTGCTGATAAAGCTAACAAAGTAAAAAAGTGTTTAGAAGTCCACATTTCACTATATTATGATCCCTTTTCCAGTAAAATAAGTAAGATATATAAAATGTTGTAGTGCTGTTATATTATTAAGGTAATTAAATTGAAAGACTTAAAACCTAACATAAAAGTTTTCACCAGAAAAGTTGAAATGACCTGCCACAATAATGATGAACATACCTCTTTTTTTCATCATAGAATCCAAGGCTTTCTGTCTGAAGATTTCCTCCATAGACATAACTTTAATGTTTTCAATGGAGTCATCAGAATCTAAACAGAAATAAGTATTCCATTCAGTTAGGCAATACTCTTCAAACCAGTTTAGCAAGCATAATCTGACAATTGTTAAAACCCATGTAAAGCACAACATGAGGACAATTACCCTCAAATGATGACTTACCTGAATCTGAGTCACTCTCGCTGCTCTCTGATGATGGCACAACACTCTGATGTTGTATAGGTGCTGACCCAAGTCTGTCTTTTACACTCTTCTTAACCTGTGAAGATTCTTTATTCACTTTCCTTGTTGGGGCTGGACCTTGCCTATTGATAGTCTTACTCTTCACTTTCAAAGATTTGCGTTTTGTAAAAGACTCGTCACTTTCTTCAACAATATCCAATTTGGATTTCAGTTTTTTCTTGTTGGCTTTTAGTGGATTGCCTTTGGGAAGTTTGTTGCCTTCTTTTTCTTTCTTTGCAGTTTTAATTTTTTTTTCATTCAAGTCAGGACGTAAGCCTACTGTGCTTGAATGGGTATCTTCCTCAACTTTGTTTTCTTGAGCTGACTGAGGAGGCTGTTTAGCTGGTGAAGCATTACTCTCCTCTGATTCCACTGAAGAGTTATTTTTTAAAATTAATTATAATTAAAGAATTACTTAGTTCAAATAAATAATTATGCATAAATGACAAAAACAAACTTGAGTCTTTGGTGTCTCATGTCTTTTAACTTAAAAAATGTGTAATAGTTTGCTGTGCTCAGCTTAGAAAGAAGGCTAAAAAAGAACTTACATGATGGCTGGATGACCACAGGTTGAACTAACGGTGGCAAACTCTGTGTAGATACAGATGCTGGTTTTGAGTTTCCATCTGACAAATGAACAGTTGTAAAGTTGTTGTCTCCAGAGTTTAATGAATTAGCTATGGAGGAGGAAATAACACAGTTTTAGTATTCATATTTGGTCTAACCAGTAAGTAGGCCTGATTATTATTAAATTATGTAAATAAAATTATACAGAAAATAAAATCCTAGTATTATACCTAGCAGTTAAAATATCACAATATGTTTGATATCATCAATTGTTCAATTTTCTGAAATGATTATATGCCTAAGGAAGCTATCAAAAAGATAAATGAATTAGAAAGTTTCAATGACCTGTTACAGCTGTATTTAGTTGAGGTCTTGGTTTTAAATGCTTATAAACACAGTTTAACTTGGTACATCCAACTGACTGAGATTCCCAGTAACAAGGAACTTCTGTTGGATCAATTTGAAGCTGCAAGATAGAAGAACACTTTTAATTATTATGAATACACATGTTGCTATAAAGATCACATTTATCATATTATATTTTAAACATTCAATATTAGTTATTTAAAAACAAACCAAAGCAGCTGAGTCTTTGACAATTAGGACTAAAACCAATATTGAAAATGACATGTTAGGTTGAATGAAATATCTTTAGATAAAATCAAGTGAATCTTATTTGCTAGTTAAAAACTTTATGAAACAGTAATTTACAGCAGGAGCTTATTATGTTAAGAGGGATTTCAGAAAAAACATATTTGCTATAAGATGCTTAAGCAGAAGAGGGAAATCAATTTTGTTCTCAGTAAGATCCACACAGTATTTTCATGCAACTTAGATCTATATTTAATATAATAATTTATAATTCTTACCTTAAAGTCAGAATGTCTAAATTTACACATAGGCCTCAAACAGCCTCCCATCTGCCAATGTTGACATATAATTTTGGCAGTTTTAGCCGTCTCCACATGACGAAATGGACATGCAGGCCCCTGAAAACATTCATTTGAAGATAAGGTTATGGCAACCAATTTGTATTTAGATAATTTAGAGCAGATTTATCCCCTAGAAATTTACAATCTTATTTTGACTTCATCGATAAACACTAAGAACATGTGTGCCTGCCGTTAAATTTCATCAATAATCAATCCATTAAATTGTTAAGAAAGATACAGTGCACAAGCAAACACTACAAAACACAAATAATGACTGACCAACTTTTGATAGGTCAAAATAAACATGAATAAAGTCTTACCTTGGCACAAGTAGACGTGCAATAGAAGTAACAGTCATCACCCAATGCTGCCATTTCAAGTTACTTTGTATGATAATCTATTAGCAGGAACCAAGTTAAATTATTAGAGTAGAGCCAAGGGGGCCAATTGAAACAAACAGTAAATCCACACTACTAGATCTTGATGGAACGTGGGGAAACGAGATATTTTTACATGGGCAATTTAAAACCCACAAACAGGAATGGACCTGAAATAGACAAAAAAATCTGCCATTACCTTAATGGATTGAAATTCAATACAGAAATTATATAATTACACAATTTCACAACACAGAACACATTTATTAAATTATTATAACACTGATAAAATATCACTAGAAGAAAGCTAAGTAGAGATTATGATGTTTTACAGAAAACATGGCTCTTCAAACGATAGGTAATCATTTTAAACAAACAGAAGCTGTTAATGTTGCTGAAAATTCTCAGCATTCCTGAATCAAACTTTGCATAGAGCTTGATATTAGCTTGTGTAAATTCCAAAGAAAAATAACCTAAGAATGAAGGGTTTATTTGACATCCATTAATGGCAACCAAAGTAACAATGAACACCAATCTTACAAGTTCCACTTTAAACAGGAACACCAAAAACAATGTCCACACCAAGCATTATGTTCAGTGACAAGGGATTTAATCCTGTCAGTGGAAATTAACAATTATATTCAGTGACAAGGCAGTGAACACCCTGAGTGCAACTTAACAAGACATTTTATTCAGTAACAAAGCAAAAATTCCTATAAGTTGTTTATTGAACAAAACATAATTCCCTTTAATGGACCACTACGAATCCTTACTGGATAGAGAAAGGCCCCATGAATTGGTTAGAGGTATCAGATTTGTAAATGGGTTGTTGCATAAGATAGAATCTATCTCAGAAGTCTGCTAACATTTCAGTCCTCAATATGTCAATGAGAGAATAGTCAAAGCTTAAGTTCCACTGTTGTAGGCACAACAACTGCAGTAGAAGAACTTCTTTTTTTGCTAAATATTACATCTTGAGGAAGATGATTCATGATTTGTCCTATTCAGCCTCTTGAGCTAATACAACTTCTAGTTGGGGGTCAACAGAATTCAAAGGCATACACTTACTGACTAAAAAGTATCATAGACAATATTTTGTAAATGCTATTATCAATTAGTTAAATATCGACAACTAATGAAGATTGCAAAAGAATATATCGATAAAGAAATGCCTCTAAAGAAATGACACACACTTTAAACTTTACAGATTTATTTAGCGTGGATGAATAGCACAGTCACTAATACACACTTGCATGCTGACTCTCAGAGGCTCTAATCTCAAACATCAAGTGTCCTAGCAAGTCTTCCCATACCTGTGCGAAAAAACAGGCTCACCATGCACTTTTAATAATAGCAAAAATGGCATCCTGAATTTGGATAATCTGGACTATCTAGACAGAAAACATGTTTGGAACAAGGGCTAATTTTTTTAAAATATATATGCATATTAAAGATAGGCCCTAATATATGCATTTCAATCATTTATTGTTACTTTAATAAAACTGTTGAAAATAAATATATCTAAACCTAGTTTTACATACCGGTATATTAGGATGTTTAGAGTCCTGCAACCCAATGACAACAGGCATAATTACAATTTTGTTTCACAGCATGAACTTGACAATTTATTTGTCTGGATAAATTCTACCTATTTTATATATCACTCCTCAATAAAAATAAAACATCAAAATTTCTGCAGATCTAAAATTAAGATGTAAGTCTTCAAGCCGTCAAAAATTAATTTATGCATGAATGATGATAAACAATTATTTTTGTTATAAACTGAACTACTTACCAGTGAGACATCTTAACACCAGCCCTGTCACCTGAGTTTCCATTAATGATCACACACACTTCAGGAGCATTGCTCAGAAGAAACCCTAGCTAATTTCCCTACCATCATTGCATCAAGTCTAAACAATCCTCCTAAGCCTAATTTCCTCAAAGAAACATCTATTTTTTACTCACACTGAGGCCCTCCTTTGCGGATTATTATTTATACAGCCCATAGGCCCAATTGATTTAATTTCCAAAAAAATTTCGGATTTTCATTTAACACTGTTAATAATTTTGTTTAAATAACAAGAACTTTTATTTTCTAAAATATTTTTGCCCTAAAGTAACTGTTTGGCAACTACAAAAATGCTACTGCTTGGATGATTTAAATTAAAAGTCCACACACTTAAGCCTAATGTTTTTTTATTATTTTATTTAGTTACGGCTTTAGTTTTATATTATTAGGAAGATAATGCAAAAATGATCCCCACCCCCCTTAACTTGAAGTGTGTCCTGACATATTTTTTTTTATACTTTGACTTCATAGATTCTTTAACTGTATGCTACCTTAAAATTAAAATAATGTTATTTTCATTGTCCTTTATATTTCAACAATTAATTTAAGAAAGCGTCTTTAAAGGAGATATTCTTTTTTCATATGACATTAGTGTCGTCCATAGCTCATATGTAGCCAATAACTGTCTAGCCTAGAAAAGCTGATAAATTTGCTAATTTAGTTGAACTTTTAATTTTTGGCCAATTTAACCAGCTTGTAGATGGGCTAGACTGCTGCGAGTGTTGCAAGTCAAGATGTTTGCAACAACAAAAAACAAATTATTTTTAACACTGATATCTTTGCCAATCCTAATTTCCACATTCAAGCCAATCAAGGTGGAAAATAGGTATTTAACACAGAATTTGTTTGTTTTGAGGTCTGATAAAAATTTAAATTCAAGGCAAGACAATTATTAAAATTATAATCATCTTTTTTATGATTTAACCTTAAACAACTGAGCAATGAAATAAGAAAATTAGTTGATTTTTGCTTTGTTACTTTGGCCATTTTCAATATGAACAACAAGCAATATGAAAAACAAGCAACTATAATTCCCAGACTGCTACTACGACTATATAGTCATGGAGTAATTATTGAGTAGCCTATTGTGTTTGATTGTATTAGGCCCTATTGTTAAGAGTTATTTTAGGTATACTATTATTTAATATCATCTTTAACTTGATGAATTTCTGAGACTCTACCAAGGCCGAGGAACTCATAAACAACAAATGTCAAATGGCAATTACTGAACTAGTATTACTAGTAGTAACAGACCCACCCAAAGATCATAGGTCCTTGATCTTGAAATTAATCTTTGAAATGATATAAACTTTTTAGTATGGCCACTATGGCTAATGAATTTCTAGAAATGTGCCAATGCCAATTGACGCAATCAATCCAAAGAGTAAGAGTAAAGATTATATTATATTACAGAGTACTATTCCAAAAGAGGGCTATTTTAGTTATTTTAACTACAGTACAGTATAGCCTATTTAATTATTTATAAATGAAAGATATTTACTTTAGACCTAGAGTAGCCTAGGTCTAAGTGTTAACAATAAAACATAATACAGTTAATACACATTAATACCATTGCCATTACTACAACCATGACAAAATATAATTCGTGTCTAGTCTAGGCTTAATATATTTACTAGTGTCTACAGTCTGTATTGTTGGTCTATTGTAAAATTCATATCAGGGGCACTATGCTGGCTATGCCATAATTTTTTATAGTAAATTTAATTATAGTCTAGTGCTGCACAAAAATGGTTTATTTTATATGCCTGTTAATACTGTTAACAGTGTTATTTATTATTAGGCTTGCTGAGGCTTGTGCATCTTGTCATGTATGAATGTGCTTCAATAAATATTCTATTCCTTAATGTCCTGGTCAATATTTAATTATTTTATTAATTAAAAGGTAAAATTCATTATTTATTTTACTAGGCCTAAAGTTGCAGTTGCATTTTCCGTTGGCTTTTTGCACTTGTGTAGTGTCAAGTGTTTTCCAAGCTACTAAGTTACTAAGCTATTATATGTATAAGTATAAGTTATAGTATAAGTATAAGATTATAACTTTGTATTTCAAACTAGAATTCTTTATTTTAAAGTTAAAAAAAAAAAAAAACAATACGCCTTCATTTTTTTTTTTTTTTTTTAAACGGTTTTTTGCTCCCTTGTGCCTTGTTCGCAGAATTGAAAAAAAAAAATGAAATAATATTTTCGAAAATGAATATTCATATTTCATATCGATAATAGGTCTTTTTGATGATTTGGACAAAGAGGACTAAATTTTCTTACAAAAAAAGAAACTGAATACGTACGCTGCTAGCTAAGAAACTATTTTAAGTTTAAGAGAATAAATAAATACATAAGAATTTCTGTAAAAATGAAGGACAAGCCCAAGGAATTAATTTCCTTAACACTAAATTATTTTTGACGCACTTAGATATCGCTTAATTCTACTTCCGGCGACGTCATCACCCTTTGACAGAATTTAAATGAGGTATGAAGATCATCTCGCACTTAGATGGCAGTAAGCCCAGGTCAGAGGTTGGCCTTAAATTAAGGCATAAGGCTAATTGACTCTAGTCTTATAATTTTAAAAATCAGATAATACAAATTCTCTTTCTCTTAAAAAAGAAAATGTTTCATTCTTTAATATTCTCAGCGAGTTAGCAGTGATTGCAAACATGTTTGTAAATACTTGGAAATTACAAAAGTAAAAGACGAGAGACATT